TTTCGGGTTTCGTTTAACCTGGTTTCTGGAAACCAGACCTGAAGCCAGGTCTGCTCTGCATCTCAAGTCTGACATAGTTTGTGGTGAGCTACTGAGCAAAGTCATGCCAGAAAGTGGTCAGTAGTACCAAAAAATCCATACTGTATATGTACCTGCTAGGGTTGGGTCGATATACTGCCGATGGCAGCTAGACAACACGATGCTGAGCCGGCATTGTGATCCTTCACCCTGCCCCCGTCGGAGCAGGAACCCGCTTGCAAAAAATACATACAATCCCGTTTACACTAATATATCTTAGTTTTAAAATGACATTTTAGAACAAAAACGATCAACGTTCACACTGCCGTTTTATCAATAGCATTTCTGAAAAGCTCTCCTTCCACACTATACTGCTGAAAATGCAAAATCCATCTAACGGTCTTTTGAATCTATCAGGTAATGTGTCACAGTGTCAGCACACTGCTTCAATCTTTCACTTTCAAGCCTGTACTTAGTAATTTTAGAGAAAACCTCAGATACTGTTGGTTGGTTCCTGTTGGTTTTGCACCATTTTTGCCAATTAAGTTTGTCGACGCCATTATAACGACACAGATCACTCTGCCTATTTATGACAGAGTCCGGTGGAAACAGTGATTAACAGGTGGTAATTAGTGAGTAGCTTGTCTTTATTTATTTATGATTTGGTTATGGGTAAAACAAAGACATGCGGGTCAGGTAGTTAAAATGGTAGGCTATTCATCCATTATGAATAATTAATTATTCATAAATAATTAATACACCACCGCCTATGATGACGATGCCTTCATCCATCGCAATGTTTCACATTAGACATCGTTCGATGCCAAATTGGTCGACATCGCCCAACCCTTGTACCCGCAAGCACATATTCTTGTACCCGCAAGCACATGTAGCCCTGGACACATACTCCCAAAGAGCCTGTGTTGATTTTATATGACATCATATGAATTTTAGATTTTAGGCGACAATAATAAAACATGAAGGATGTACAGTGTTCAGCATATATGAGTACATCTTTTAAATTCATATTTTGAATAGGAAGCTAAACAATATTATATTTGTGCATATACATTAGATTAATCAAATCTGGAGCTTATCTAACAAAATAACTTACGATAAAAAGAAAAAAAGCCAAATTTTTATGTTATAGAAAAATATTAAATACAATTTTAAAAAAAAAGGAAAAATCAAGAGAAGCTAGAAAAAAAAATTAAGTTGAGAGTTTGTAGGTTGTAATTTATTCCAATATTTTGCTTGAATTTAATTTTATTATCTTTCAGTTTTAAAGATGTTTGGTGGCTAAAATATAACATCAATAAATATATCTGTTTAATAAATCTGCTTTGTTTAAATGCAGCAAAATACATTGCCTATATTCATTGAGAAATTGATAAATATTCATTTTCAAAATGAGCTGTACTTAATTACGCTGAGCACTTTATGTCATACTTCTTAATTTTTGAGGATTTCTTTATTTATCCAAGTACATTTTTACCGGGATTATGATTTATCAAAAAAATGTTTTAAATTAGTCAAAAGTAGCTTCCATAAATCCATTTACTGTATCCCACATGTCACATTTCATAAACTCATGTTTCAGAGGGGTTTTTTATGCTCAGCCCACAAACAAAATCACCCACTCATCTTGGCCGTTGCAGCAGGACGGCACAACAACACAGCATTCATTCTCAAAGCGCAGAGCATAAACCACGGCCTTCAGGATTTTTTATTAGAGTATTACATCATTACGCCCCCTCACTCACTGTTTACTGTCTTGACAACGATCAGCCTTTAATCATCGGAGCTTTACTCTGTTACACAGACATTTAGCCTTTAGAGTGATTATGACATTAGGCTACAAAGCAAATCTCATGGACCATTCACTGTTCACGGATGACGGGTCAGGAAAACAGTAACACAGCCATCACTGCCTGAGACACCAGGACATTTACTCAGGGTAGAATTAATCGCCCCTGTCTATCATTACATTCTCATTTAGTGACTGTCTATGATGATTTATATTGACACGAAAGTTACATGTTACAAATTAAATAATGAAATATCATGCAGACTATTTTTAAAGCAGCCATAGAATGCATTGCTATATGCTATTTTGTTTTCTGGTATCTAAATAGAAATTATATGGTTTATGTGACAGCAAAGATTCCTTAATAATGGTTTCACATGACCATTTTCAACCCAAAACAATCATACTTTACAATTGTCAAAAATATTCTAATGCTGTGTTCACACCAGACGCGGAACGCGCGGATAAATCGCACTATTCGCGCATAAATAGCCACGTTTACATTTGAGTTTACTTGCTTCATTCGCGCGTCAAATCTGCTTCATTTGCACATCACTTCAGAACAGACGCGGACTCGCGTGATGGGCAGGGCTTTTGTCTGCCCGGTGACTGTAGCTTCATAGCTAAATGGCTAAATGGATTTTATTGAAAAAATAATTGTTTATGTGCTTTATGAAGGCTAAAAAACAGCGTCGATACGTTTAGGGCCATGTCTGAGTCCAATAGGTCCTTTCAGAGGTGCATCCAGCTCTGTGAGCTCATAAACTCCTCCAGAAACTTAACCTGGTTGATGGAGGCTTTCAGCGGTGCTTCTGACTGAGCCCAACCCAGTTTGATGAACTTTTTGTCGGTGTCGGCTGGAGGATTTCCCCCGGGACACCAACAACAGGTATATGCCACAATCACGCCCCCACAAAAACAAGCTTCTGATTGGTTAACGCGGCACGAATGTCTGCTGAAGTTCAGACTTTCGAACTCGAGCAATTCGCGCATCAAACGCGTGTCAAACGCACATCAAACGCCGCAACATTCGTGCCGCGCTATTCGCGCCGCATCATTCGCGCATTTCGCGCCGTAGGATGTCTATTCGCATGTTTGCATTGACTTAACATGTAAATCACTTACACTTGACGCGCGTTCCGTGTCTGCTGTGAACGCAGCATAATAAATTGAGTAGAGTCCTTGTTTTTTCAGTTAGCAAGAAGGAGTGACTAAGCTATCTTAACTTGTTCAAAAACCTAGTTTTCTCCTGAGTTGTGCGGTGGATCAAATATAGGCTTAATTTTAATTATCATCAATAAAAGGAGCTGACAGAGATGTATATATTTCATTTATTAAATTTTTTGATGTATATCGACAGGATATAAAAGAAGATAAAGACAGGAAGGGATTAATGTCAACTTCTGCATGAACAGATTCATTTTTTAAAGATTAATGGCAACCTTTCACTCAAGAAAAAAACGCAGTAAGAACAAAGTGATATGACACCATGCATAAACGTGAACTGTACACTTATATTCAGCAGTCTACATGTGTTTGTTGCCTCATTACAAACATATATGGTAAATTTCACAATATACACGTTAAACTTACAAAAGATACATTTAAACAGACCTTCAGGATGCCTCTTTGGAATGTCTTTGAACAAATTTATAATCTGTATGTCCCACAATTTGCATTCTGACGAGCTGTAAACAGATGTACCTGCTGCACAGAACTACTTACTCTTTCTAAGCCTCCTCCATGTTCAATATTTCCCACTTAAATAGTAAGTATAACACAAGCTTAGTTAAACTTGAAAATAAGGGGAAATTATTAATTCATGCATTCCTATTTCTGTCAAAATTCTGCCACTCTAGGCTTGTTAATTCTTGTTTGTTGACACTAGTGCTGTCATGTCTTGTGTTGTGCTCGACTTGAGTTTTCTCGGGTCGAGCACTGGTTTTGTCATTGTGTGTGTGTGTGTGTGTGTGTGTGTGTGTGTGTGTGTGTGTGTGTGTGTGTGTGTGTGTGTGCGTCGTCTATACTCCCCCTGTGTTCCTGCTCTAGTCTTGTCTCGCCAGCCCAGCCAAATTTGTTTGTGTTATAGTTATGTTTTTCTTCCTCTGGGTGGTTTTTGTTGTCCTTTTTGTTTTAATTTAATTAATAATAAATTATCTTATGTTGCATTTGAGTCCTCGCTCCCTCATCCTTCCTGAACCTTGACAATTTCATAATCATTTCCATAGGCTTAACCAATTCACCAATACAGCATGTCTTTGGACTTGTGAGGAAAACCGGAGCACCTGGAGGAAACCCACACAAACACTGGGAAATGATCATTTGTTGTAATTTCACAAGGAAACATTGTAGCCAATCAAAGCCTGAAGCGTGCATATTAAAGATCCTGAGTGGATTGACACAGTCGGAGCATTTTTAAAATGTTTTTCAAAGGGATTTTAGAGATTTACGTGAGGAAACAATTGTGTTTAAGGCTGACGTTGTCATTTCCATGTTAAAAAAAGTGTATTTTTTCTTGTATTATTTAGCTATGCATAGGTATGAACAGATTTTTATTCTATGACACCTTTGATACCACATGCACATTTAAAAACAAATCACAATAAAGTTCTTTAGGTATTATGTGATGAAAAAACAAACTATTTTTCAAAACTTTGCAATCATAAGATTTAAAAAAATTCAAAGTAACTTTTTCAAATTTTGTTTTAAATAACTTGTTCATCAATTTTCCTTCAGCTTAGTCCCTTATTTATTAGAGGTCACCACAGCGGAATGAACTGCCAACTATTCCAGCATTTGTTTTACATAGCATATACCCTTCCAGCCGCAACCCAGTACTGGGAAACACCCATACACTCTCGCATTCACACACACACTCATACACTATGACCAAAATAGTTCATCCAATTCACCTATAAACACATGTGTTTGGCCTGTGTGTGAAACCGGAGCACCCAGGAGGAAACCCACGCCAACACGAACATGCACACTCCACACATTAATACCAATTGGCCCAGCCGGGACTCAAACCAGCAACCTTCTTGCATCAGTAACAATCAAGCATTTTTAAAAACAGCAGCCAATCCTATTTGTACTGTAATCCAGTGTAAATAGCACTACTAGCAGCACAATGAGGTTTTGAGGTAAAAACAAAACAAGTTGCGAAACATCTTACCTTGGCCAAGTGTGAATTAATCCACTTTGTGAAAGTTCTTTTCTGCACCGACTCCTGTTCATCTGCACAAGAGAGAAACACAATAACCACATAAGTGGGCAAATAATTTACTGTTCATTACTTTACAGTGATATTATGAGCTTCTGTCTTCTTCATTTTGCTCACAGCCTTCATGACTCATTTGGCTATTATATTGGTTATTTATAAAAAAATAAATGCATTCCAGAGAATTAATTATTGTGTGTTTTACAGTTCCATTACAGTAAGCCTGCATTCAAAGCTAGAGAGAAGATATTCACCAGCACAGAAGAGCTGAGAGTCCACATGTGGCATGGGCAAAAGACATTAACATGATATCAGATACAGTACATGTGGCAATATTCCCATCATTAGACAGAGTACAAATCATACTTCACATAAACAACATACTGCATTTTTTGAAGGCAACATAGATATGCATTTAAGCTCAACCCACAAGCTTTCAAGAGGTTGTGCAAGCCACAGTATAAGCAAAGACTATAGAATACACAAGTCATGTCACTCATGTCTTTTTATACAGGTATAACGGTCAATATGGTGAATAAAGCCCCGCCTACTAGTACAGAAGCCAATCATCGATCGGTATATGGCGAATAAAGCCCGCCTTTTAGTACAGGAGCTAATCATCGATCACTATATGGTGAATACAGCCCGCCTTCAAGTACAGGAGCCAATCATCGATCACTATAGATTGACGATACTCCCGGGGAGGGGCTCGAACTAGACGTCCATCATCATTATATTTTACAGGGATGGCAAAATGCTTTCATACATGCGAATTGAATGACGTGGGGAATGATCTCTCTGCAATTATTATAAATGTTAGATTAACAAAGTTGTGATCTGCTTTGTTTTCAGACTTGCTCAGGAGCGCACAATGTATACCAACACAAATCAGCACAGAAAAAGTTTACAATTTTTGAGTTTGTTGCTAAGGTGTTTCAATATAAATATTAGCATGTTACCAGGATCTTGTAAGGTAGTTTCTAATGTGCTCTTATGCCGAGTTCAGACAGCAGGATTTTCAAAGTAGTCGTGTCACAAATGTTTTCACCAGGCCCGTATTGGCCAATCGGGAGGACCTGGGGAGTTCCCGGTGGGCCGGTCCGTTTTTTTGGACGCGAGTTTCTAGCTGCTTGCACTCTCAGCAGTCGCAGTTTTTTTTCATTTATTTATTTGTTTGACCATAGCCTCACTCTTTTTATTCATTTTTTTGCCGCAGCTCCATTCTTCTTATTTATTGTCTTGCAGTCCCATGAGCAAAATGCAGCCTGCAGGGTAATGATGATTTAACAATCATTCCGGCCTCACAGTAGTTACAGTGCCATTGTGGTCCAGTGGTCAGCATGTTGTGTTACGACATCGATGATTCCTGTTCGATCCTCACTTGAGTAGTACTTCTTTTTTTTGTTTTTTCATTTTTATTGTTAAGACATATAAAACTGCAAGGTTGTTGAACATTTGAAGTTCTAAAGCAGCTGTTTTCTTGAAAAAGACGTGATCGTGTAATTAGAAACAGAATTGGAAATGACCTTATTTTAATATAGTCAGTCGTGAACTGAGGTGGGCTGGTCTAATGCTTAAAACTCCAGGGCTGAAAAGGAGTCCTACTCCGGCCCTGGTTTTCACGCTGCATGACAATCTGGGGTTCGTTCCTTGTACGTGGATTACTCAGTTAGCTGGATTTGGTTATTGACAATCCAAGATCGTTTTGTTCGTTAAAACTGATCCATGAGTTGTTGTCATAGCAACAGTTCTGGTAGCTCAAATCTGCTAGGGAGCAGGCTCATTTCATATAAACAGGATTAGATCAGGTCAGATTAAGCAAAGATAAAACTGAAAGTATGTACCAATGATACCTGATATTTTCTTACAGTAGTTATATACACTTGGGAAAATAGTAAATATATATATTTTTAACAATAATTATTTATAAAGTTATTAATAAAACTTATGCAATCTGCACTCCAAAATAAAAGTACAAAGACTGCCACCTGGTGGTTCAAAGAGAATATTTATTGATATGAACTTTTTGATTCATTCATTTTCTTGTTGGCTTAGTCCCTTCATTAATCCGGGGTCGCCAGAGCAGAATGAACCGCCAACTTATCCAGCAAGTTTTTACGCAGCGGATGCCCTTCCACCCGCACCCATCTCTGGGAAACATCCACACACACATTCACACACACACACTCATACACTACGGACAATTTAGCCTACCCAATTCACCTGCACCGCCTGTCTTTGGACTGTGGGGGGAAACCGGAGCACCCGGAGGAAACCCACGCGAAGGCAGGGAGGACATGCAAACTCTACACAGAAACACCAACTGAGCCGAGGTTCGAACCAGCGACCCAGTGACCTTCTTGCTGTGAAGCGACAGCACTACCTTTTGTAAACATCCAGTTATTCTTTACAACCGGCTACTATAATACTACTATGGCTACTATAGTAAAGAAAATCCGGTCTAACCATAAAACTAAATAAATTGCTAAATACTCTTGACACATGAAAGGGTAAAGCCCACAACAAAGGTGGAAAATTATTGCGTATCATATTTAACAAACCGTTTCCTACAAATTTTATTTAATTTTGCTCATGGATAATTGAATATTAATCAGATGATGTCATTACGCTGCTTTGCTGTCAGCCAATCGATGCACTGATCATGATTTTGAGGATCGATAGATCTGTCCTTTACAACACACACAGCGATCCCAGATCAGTTCATCCAGACATTTTAATCTGATTCACGAACTTGTTTGACGAACCAAATTAGCCAAAGATTAGTTATCAACATTAAAAGATCCAGCAGGGCTCGAAATTGCGACTATTTTGGTCCCATATGCGCCCGAAAATTAATCTATGCGACCTAATAATATATTTGGGCGCATTAGTGCGACTGCAGATAATGGTTGTAGTGCGACCTGTTTTGATTTTTTTGTAAAAACGTGCTGAATCGCTCTTCCCTGCCGCTATATTGGTTCATATTAGCTGTCAATCACTCAAGGTATTCCGCTGTCAGATGACAGGGAAGGAGCTTTTATGACCACGGGAAATTCAAACGGCTGAAGAATGAAAACTTAAAGCATGCAGGTTTGCAAACCCCACCTAAAGTTGAGGCGCAGATGAGAGCGATCATGACACGTGATGGATATCTGCCAGCTGAGATCAATCGAGTACGTGCTTTTCGGAGAAAGCGCCCGAATCTCGATGCGTTGCATTCACTGCGTGTTCAGCGCAAATGTCCGCTAAAAGTCAAATCTAATACTGTACATATCATCGCCAAAGAAGCTCGCCTTTACTAAGTTTACACTGAAACTATGGCTCATCATAACAAACAGCGGTTTTGCGCCGGTGGTCACAGCAAGAATCCTGCTCAACCTGCTCATAAATTGGGTCGGCTGACTCGCCTGCTTTCCACTAACACAGAAAAATGAAGATCAGCTCAGACTGAACCTTTAAATTGACACAGACTGAAACCAAAACTTTTAAAGAGTGATAGAATTGAGACTTTACTTACTTTTTTTTTGTCTATTCTTTTTTGAGGTGTATATTATTTTTTATTTATTTACTGATGACTTTGCAGCTTTCAGCATTGAATTGAATTATTTATTATAATCTTTTATTCGTTTTGTAGCAGAAAAATTATTTATTAAATTGACATTCATATAAAACAGCACAAAATAAATATTTCTTACTGCAATGCTTCATTTTTGTTTGATGCAAACTATACATTTATTTTTCATAAAGTAACAGACTTTTTATAGCAGATATTCATGCACGTTCAAGGCAGTTCATTGTTACTATTATTGTCATTTTCATTATCATTAATATTCTATAATTATTAGACATTCATTTTGGAATTATTGCACACAAATATCAAGTCATCACAGCATTAGTTAGATAGTTGTTTCTGGTTTTTGTTAGTCCTATTGATGTTGTTTTAAAATACAATAAATACCTTAAAAAACTATTTGCAGCGGTGCTCATTCATTTTGGTGGATGCTCCTAAATTTTTTTTTGGTGCTCCTAAATATTTGAAGTTGGGAGCACCGGTGCTACCAAGTAAAAACGTTAATTTCGAGCCCTGTCCAGGATCTGCCAAATCATCTTAGATCATTTAAGCGTGGTACGAAGAACGGACCCCTGGGCTGGCGGTTTGTTGCTGCTTTGTTTACACTGCAAGATGGATCGGCAACTTTCGGCATTTCACATTGCATGACTTTACAATAGGATGAATCGCTAACAACTTCGTCCAAACTCTCAACCAAAAACATGTAGTATATCTTTTGTTATTACCTACATAACGAGAAAAGAAGCCTTTAATGGGGTAGAAAATGTACATATTTGCTCAGCTTGGTTTGAAGGGAATTAGTCATTTCTCCTCAACTTTCTCTTTTGACCCGGTTGTGATATTGCTCACGACACGTCAAACAGACACGGGTGCTCCTGCCAAATGTCCACTAGTTTTACCTCCATTTCATGGGTCCAAATAAACAGAAAAGGAGCGCTTTTAACTTCTCCCCCAACCTCCCGCTGGCCTGTAGGTACACACACACAAGTGAATGCTGCTCCCTCACTGGCTGTAGGCGATCACTGATGTTATTTTCAGTCAAAACCCTTTTACACAGCATGATTTGAATTGCCAACAGCTCCAGATGTTTAGCATTACCAAATATCTCACGGGCATCGGCAACTCATCTGCGATTCTCTCAGATCGCGTCTTTGATAGTTCACATTATGTGAGCGTTACTCAGGTAAACGAGCACCGATTTGCCTGTGATTTCAGGCATTCGTCAAAAATTTCTCAAAACCTGTCGTCAAGTCAAAATCGGGGTTAAAATCAATCATGCAGTCTGAACTCGCCATTACTTTCAGTGGGTGCCTGATGTAAAAGTTTTCTATGAATGCCAGGCCGCTAATGCTTTGAGTTGTTGCTAAGATTAACTGGGTTGTTACTAAGGTGTTACTAGGACATCCTGGGGGTTGGAAGGCTGATATATATATATATATATATATA